TACAATGAATAAATAGCTCTCTTTTTATATATATATATATATATATATATATATATATATATATATATACACACATGAACTTAATTAAAATGTATGGACAATATAAAAATATTTTATACAGTAATCAATAAATTGTCATGTTTGATAAACTTATTAATTTTATATAACCATTTTACAAATTATAACACTATCAATTTCATAACCCTTGTTTAATTGACAAACATTGTTGACAACTCTAAGGTCGGGAAACCCTTAGAGTAAGTTGATCTTTGAGTAGTTGAAAATTAGCGACAAGAGGAAGAGGTAAATGAAGCTATAATTTCAAATCCCAGTATGCATTGTCTAGTTGTGTTGTTGAAATTAGTTGATTGTTGGTTATTATGAAGAATTGAATGATGGAAATGATGAAGTTGAGAGGGTTCTAAAATATTGAAATAAAGCATGAGAAAACATGTTGATTGTTGATTATTTTTGTTACAAGTTTTTTTTTGAATTGTTTTCGAGTTACACATGATGTATACATGTTGTAGTTTGGTTTTTGAAATTTTAGGTGTTTTGGTCAAATTTGCAATTTTACATTGTGCAGAAACTGATATTGTGTTGGGCGTGCCTTCAAGGTGCTTAACATGACTCCAAAGAAGGATCTTTATCTTACTCACACTAGGTAGAGGATCAATGGCACTAGGCATGAGGAGAGAGAATCGTCTCAGGTTAGAATCATGTTGAGGTGGGTTGAATGACACCAAGCATGAGGAGAGAGACTCGTTTCTACTTGGATTCACATCGAGAGCTAATAGAGTGACGTTGAGTGTAAGTTAGGCGCAAAGGCTTTATGCTTGATTAGGGTTGGATGTGGGCTTTGTCATGACAGGCACAAGAGTGTAGGAGACTCTTTTGCCTCAACCACGTCGATGCGGGTAGTTTGGTGTCGAGCGTGAGCGAGACCAAGAGCCCCCTACCTTAATGGCCCCAGGTGTCCTATGAGTGACGCCAAGTGTGTTTTGCATGATGAAAAATTGTTGTTTTAAGTTGTTTTATAATTGAATGATGATGAATAGGTTGTATAAATGATTATGTATGATGGATAACCTATATGTTGTGAATTGATTTATTACTTGAGGAGGTGTATGCTATTAAAGTATGAGTTGAATGATGTTTGAGTTGTAAAGTTGTATGTTGTTAGGTTGTTCATGCTACTAAGTTGTTAGACATGTGGTTGAGATACATGTCCTATTTAATATACGTAAAAACTAGAGGAAAGTAAGTGATGACTTCGAAAACTAAATACCCCATTGTGCAGATATGAGATGTGATGCTCTAAGAGCCTAAATGTTAAAAAAAAACCTTCATTATGTGAGTTGACTGTTGAATGATAAGTTGTATGTTGTCTCCTCTAGGATTTATGTGGTATCTGTATATAGAAAAGGTTAAGACATACATGTATAAATTAAGCGACCAATTGATTAAATTACAAAGTTGAGGCCTTGGTCCTTAATCAAGTATTGGAGGGGCATAGTACTTGAAAGATAGTCGATGGACTAATCTCATAAGTAGTTTAGTGATGCAAGCTAATGTCATGATAAGATCATACTCAAATTATTTTATCTTGATAGTAGTACTAGACTTCCTACTTTAAGTGACGAACCTGAGAAATCAAATTGAGTTGTTAGTTGACTTAGTTGAGATAGGTCACACATTGTGATTCGATAGAGTCTAGCTACTTAAAATGTTCATCTCTGTTGTAGGAGATCTTCATAGTTGATATTCATGATGATGTAATTATAAGTGTTATTGTATTGAAGTTGATTAAGTTGTATGTATTGAGACTATTATGGTGTTGCAAGTTGTTGTATTGTGGTGTTATGGTGTTGTTTATGAGTTGATTGTATTGTATCATTTAAAGATGCTTAGTTTTGATTATATATTGAATTCTTCTCAGAAGCTTATCTTGTCACTACTAGAAGGATTGTATTCTAAGTCGGTTATTTTGCCATATCTACATCGGTTTTAAAACCGACTTAGATAAGGCCGTCGTAGATGAATAAACATATCTACGTCAGTTATGTAAAAACCGACTTAGATATATTTATACATCTAAGTCGGTTTTTATCAAAACTGACTTAGATGTATATATGCACATCTAAGACGGTTTTTATTTAAAACTGACTTAGATGTATATGTGCACATCTAAGACGGTTTTTATTCAAAACCGACTTAGATGTGCATATATACATCTAAGTCAGCTTTTGCGTAGAACTGCTGTAGATTGTATTTTTTTTAACCAGGTTAATTTTTAAAATAAAACTAATTCAATTATAAATAACCTGCAAAAATTGATTCAATTATCCAATATAAGAGAAACCAACAGAGACTAATTTCAGATCGTTATCATTATATATAATACTAAAGAAACAATATACTTGGAAACCAAAAGAGGCTAATCTAGTATCCATAAAGAAGAGTTTTTCTCTTGAACCCTGATACAAAATCTTTTACTTAGTTATGCAATCAAAGGGGACTCCTAATTAAATAAAAAAAAAACATACAAAATTTTGGTTACAGGAGGGGGCCTTGGCATGCTTCATCACCTCACACCTATAGCCATGCTTCTTCTCTTTCCATTTTCTCATGTTCGATTCATGCTCACAGTTTCAAGCTCGCTTTTTCCTTGCCAGTGCAGGTCTTTTGCCAGAAGTTGATTTGGATGAACAACATGTGAGCAAACCTCGCAGCATAGCCAAAACAGCTAAACCCAGGAAAGAGGCATACATTGTCAATAGCTTTTCAGATGTCCTCTTGGAACCCATCATTTCTGATAATATAGCAGCCTACAAAAACAACCAAAATCTCATTGTTACACCATCCATGGAAGGGATGAAGACACTACTATTACAGTAATACATTCAAACTTCCAACTTCAATGAAACAAATGCCATTACCATTGTAAAAAGTCAAATCAGAGAGGTTACACTTTGGTAGTATAATTAACACCTTAGCAACATCTAATTGTCAGAGAAGCCGTGCAATACATCAAGACCATAGTTTCTGAGTAAATTTAAATCCAAGCATACAAAGTTGCATACAAGCAATTATTTCTTCCATTATATTTAGACAGCAAACAACATAATCAATTCAACATGATCTAACTGCTGCAAACGCCAACAGAACACAGGAGAAACGACCCTTTCCCCCCCTAGCACAATGTATGATAAATAACAAATAAAATCTCCATATGAAGAGCATGTTTGGGAATATGATTAATTCACACCATTTAAGCAACTTGTTAGGGAAAAAAATTATATGTTTGAAACAACTAAAATTTGTGAACAGTGTTTTTTCTTTTCTGAAAAGTAAACTGTTATCATGAATATGAAAATTTAAAAGTAGTGATTATTTTTCAATAGCTGATTTTCTATATAAAAACTGATTTGTTGATGTATCTAAATGAAATTAAATATTTCAAAATTGTTTCTCAGCATACTTTTCAAACAAATTTCATTCCAATTATTATTGATTATACATTTAATCAATTATTGAAAAAATATAATTTTCACGACTTTCCCATAGAAAATGAATGTCACGAGACAACAGTCCAATGGACGAGGATGAATCTAATAACAACAAACATAATCATGCAAACAAATGTAGTGATTCTAAATGAGTGGTTTCTAGTAACATAATAAAGTTTGACTTTTTCTTGATCCAAACATCAGACAAGAGAATATTACCCGTTTTCTCTCCTCCCCCACAAGCCTAATCATTCATACAACAACATGATCCACATAAACACGTGATCCTATCAATCAAAGACAGAAACCTTGTACAAGCAAAAACAGAATTGAAAGTTGATTTAGATAGATAGATAGATACCATGGAGGTAGTGACAGAGACACCATAGATCAAGCAAGTGGTGTTGAACCAAGGCTTGGAAGTGAGAATGGCATAGAAGTTGAGAATTGCAAGGGGCCATTGGAAGAGAAGCTCGAGCCAAACAAGACCTACGAAGAAGTGGGGCTTTATATATATATATATATATATATATATTACTCTAGAGCTGATTTAGAGTGAACTGCTCTAACAAATTACAAGCTACTCATTACAACAAAATGTAACTATTAATTATGACATGAATGATTTTAAATTTATTTAATAAATTCATCACACATGGTCAATGCATATACTACTTTATCAATTAAATACGACTTATAATATTTGCACCGTTACCCTCTGTATGGTATGTTTCTTACATGATAGATTTTAAGATTTTGTACCATCATGCTCAGAACTCAGAAGCAACTGCAGCCTTTGTTACCATTACCCTTAGCGTGGGAAGTTGTGTATCCTCCGGTCAAAAACTGATATAGCTTCGTGACATAAGTCATGTATAAACTCGTGGACTTATGTTTCTACCTCCTAGATCGAGGGTCAACCTCGGTTATATGTTAACATTATGGGATTAATCATTATTTTCTTTTGTATGCATTTATTTTGCCGTTAAGATTTAACATTTAATTACCTTTAATTAAAATGTACAACACTTTAGTATTTTATTTTCTACGCGAATTATTGAAGGAAAACTTCTCTAATTGAAGAATATAACAAATCGTACCTGCAGTTCTCTGCACCTGAAGTTTTTTTCTAATTGTATTTAATTTCTTCTGGCAGAATTATTTTGCTTTTTAAGGTTGTTCATCAAGTTTACAAGTTTCTCGGGTGATATGTGTAGTTTGTAACATAAGAAAATTTTGAGGTTGATTTTAGATCAGTGTATTCACCAGATCAAATCACCGGTATGATTTTAGAAACATTGTTTGGAGGTATATAACATAAGCATTGTCCTACCACCCAAGGAAGGATGCCTTGACCACCTGCTAAGGTCAACTATAATATAAAAACTCCATTCCCCCAAAAAACAATGAACAAATCTTGCACACACTTCAAGCTTTACATCTTACTTATCAAGACTAGATATTCTTCCAATCCAAAAGAGAGCCTCAATTACAATACTAAATCTATATTTCAGAGTCACTATTGGCGGAAATTGTTAGTCAAGTAGCCTCGTGTAACTTAAGAGGGGGGGTGAATTAAGTTATCTAATTTTTCTTCTCTTTATTAGTTTTTCTAACTTTTTTCTTATAAAATCAATATCTTAAACAATTTGTACGTAATGATTCAAAAACTTCACAACAAAAAAAAAAGTATAGGGATAGAGAATTGCAAACTTGATTTTATACTGGTTCGGCCAACCTTGCCTACATCCAGTCCTCAAGTCACCCACTTGAGATTTTTCACTATGCTTGTAACCTTTACAAGACTCAAATTCTCCAACACCTAGGAATTCTCTTTCCTCGTGTTGAGAATCACAGACCACCAAGGAGAACAACAATTTCCCCTTTACAGATCAATAGAAAAGATGAATGAAGTATAACAACTCTCTTTGAAGAGCGGATTTTACACTTGTTGATCTTAGTAGAACTCTTTAGATAATTTGCAAATGATTTTTTGGCCAAGTGATTGTAAAGATAGTTTTTCACAATTGAGTTCGTAACCTTTGTCTGAAAAATTATTAGTATTTATAGATGATTGTTTCATAGGTCATAACTTTTCATGAAGAGTTGTGACTTTCTAAAATTTTCCAGAAAAATAGGCTCTAGTAATCGATTACAAGACTTGGTAATCGATTACAACGGTTTAGTTTCAAAATGATTGGAACGTTGTAAAGTTTAAATTCAAATTTTGAAATTTTCATCTTCTGGTAATCGATTACAGGGAATGGGTAATCGATTACCAGAGCACGTTTTAAAGAGTGACTTTGAACATATGAGATTCATCCTTTGGTAATCGATTACATGTAATGGTAATCGATTACCAGACTCTTAAAAACAATAATTGCCTTATTAAAACTTAAAATATTGAAAACCTTTATTTTCAAAACCTTATTAATATAAATCATATTTGGGTTTTCTTTGAAATTCTTTATTTTAAATGGCCAAGAACTTTATGCAATATTTCTAAAGATTTCTTTTTACATATTAAGCTAGGTTGACAAGACTTATCTAAAATATTTTGAGATTTTTGTTTCTTGGTCACCTTGCTTTAACTTGACCTCTTGTTTTCTTTAACTTCTTTGGCATCATCAAAATCCTTTAGATACGTTCTTCCACATTCTCCCCCTTTTTGATGATGACAACATACTGTAGATGGAAAGAAACATAAAACAGTGTATATCGATCACTCCCCCTTAGTCTCCCCCTTAATAAATCATTGTTTGATGTTAATTTTTATATTGTAAAAATTTGACTTTAAATAGACAGTTGTAATGATTAGATTAAATTTTTCAATTCAAAATATCTAATATTTGATCAAGACCTTTCTTTCCTTTTCTCTCCCCCTTTGGCAACATCAAAAGGAATGAGACAATATATAAAAAAAATTGAATAAGATAAACAAACACCATTCAGAAACAAAAGTAAAATCTGTCCTATGAGCAAAATAGTCAGAGTCAAGCGAGCAGAATTAACCTAAAACATATTAATCAAAGATCCAGAAATTTACTAAAAAATAGTCCAAAACATAAGATAAACTAAAATAG